GTTGTACACTGCCTTTTTTTGAGGCTCTTAAAAAAAATTGTCTCAGATCGACCGGAAAAAAACATTTTCTTATAGAATATGGCCTGTAGAATCCATAATTTCAAACAGTTCCAAGATTGGGCTACTAGTTCAAAAGTTACAGCCCTTTGAATTTTCTTTCGAAATTGGTTTCTAGTCTATAACTTTTGATTGAGAAGTCTGATCGAAAAAGTACGAATTGTTTTGGATTCTACGCACCAAAATTAATAAGAAAAAGTGTTTTCCCGAGAAATTTTGGTGCAGTCGATTTTGGTAAAAAAGGAAGGTTGTACACTGCCTTTTTTTGAGGCCCGAGAAAAAAATGTCTCAGATCGACCCGGAAAAAAATTTTCTTATAGAATGTGGCCTGTAGAATCCATAATTTGAAACAGTTCCAAGATTGGGCTACTAGTTCAAAAGTTACAGCCCTTTGAATTTTCTTTCGAAATTGGTTTCTAGTCTATAACTTTTGATTGAGAAGTCTGATCGAAAAAGTACGAATTGTTTTGGATTCTACGCACCAAAATTAATAAGAAAAAGTGTTTTCCCGAGAAATTTTGGTGCAGTCGAATTTTGGTAAAAAAGGAAGGTTCACTGCCTTTTTTTGAGGCCCGGGAAAAAAAATGTCTCAGATCGACCCGGAAAAAAAATTTTCTTATAGAATGTGGCCTGTAGAATCCATAATTTCAAGCAGTTCCAAGATTGGGCTACTAGTTCAAAAGTTACAGCCCTTTGAATTTTCTTTCGAAATTGGTTTCTAGTCTATAACTTTTGATTGAGAAGTCTGATCGAAAAAGTACGAATTGTTTTGGATTCTACGCACCAAAATTAATAAGAAAAACTGTTTTCCCGAGAAATTTTGGTGTAGTCGATTTTTGGTAAAAAAGGACGGTTATAATACACTGCAGATTTGTAAGAGTCATCTAATGGAAGATGTGATCAAATATGAAGCTAAAAATTTCAATAAAAATTACTGATTACGAGTTTAATTACATGCGAAAAGGTCATTAGACAGTAACGTCGAATTAGGAAAATCCGAGGAAATTTTATAAAAGGATTTTAACATATCGTCATTTCGCGGCAGTTCTAATAAATTTTTAACGCTGGCAAACGGTAGCGAGAGCGCGATTCGGAAACTCGCAACTAATTCGAATGGATCGTCGGAGAGAGGCCTTTATTAGTGCTCTGGGATACGCGGAATTCGATTCAAAGACCTGTAATTTTCAGCACCTCGAAGAAATAGCGTCATCAGACAAAAGCATGTGCGAACTCTCGATAATTAAAGCGGGAAGGCGAAAGGCACACTCATTTATGATCAGTAGGTAGTTCTTTTGTAAGCTTTCGCTTTGTTTGATCTACGTAGATCCAGATCCTTTTTAGGCGGACGGCCGGTACAACTCGAACTTTTTTATTCAAAGTTTTCGTGGATTTCTAAAACTTCGTTTTCTCTTTTATAAAGGAAGAAGAACATAACCTGCAGTAGGTATTGTAAAGGTGTTTCAAAAGTTACTGTTAACTTTGGTGTAACATTGTTTTAAGTTTGAGATTAACGCCTGTTCTTATAAAACCACTTAATATACGTCTTAATAAATAATGCCCCGCTCCCATCCTCCTCAAAATACGACTATTATAAAATCGCACTCAACCTAAAATGCTCAGTGAAATTGAATGCGCCATTTTATGAGCGATCATAAAAGCTTTTACACGGGATACGAAAGTTTCAAACAGAAAACCTAAGCGTTACAACGCCGTTGATATAACTTAACCTTTCTTCTTCTTCTTCGTCTTCTTCTATTTCTTATAACAAGGAAACCTTCTCCTTAAATAAATTTTAAAGGCAAACTCGTTAAGTAAAGGAAGATGCGGAAATTACCTCCTTTTATGATGTCACTAATCCATCCATTCTATTCAAATTTTACACTTTTTACACGTAGCTAAATTGTGCATTCGACTTCTGCTTGTTAATCTCGTACGGTAATGAGCCCCGGATGAAATTTTCTCCAATTTGTCAGGAGATTCTAGAGTTCTGCAGATTGGTATACAAAAAATTACAAAGTTGACTGCATTCTCTTCTCGATTATATTCTGATGTCCTAGGGGAATTTTTTTGCCACTTGGCTAGTTTTCGGAAACCAGACTTTTAATCCGGCTCATATTTAATAGCACTGATCCTTGAACTCGTAGAGGACGAAGGAACGGGTAGACGGGCAGACAGACGGACAAAACCATCACATAAGGGGAATCTTTTTCTTTAAAAAATTCCCTTAAAAAGCATTGCACCACGGATGTTATCTTGTGGAACATCACTATCATGACAAATGGAATTAATTTTTTATCGCAAATTCATTACGTTACCAATTAAGTGCTTGATTTGCAGGGAGGGTATGCAAACTTGCGTAGATGAAAAGAGAGTGATAATCACCCCCATCCCTTGGTCGCTCGTAGCCGGTTTATGGTCACAATTTGAACTCGAATTATTCGACAAATTCATCGCCCTCGCGCGATTTAATTATGTATTATATTTGCGCTCGTCGGTACAATACACAGATTACAGGTAATTGCTTTAAACGTGGTTTCATTCTGAAGAGTAGTGGAGCACAAAGTAGCGCTAATGGCGCCTTGTAACGGCATATTTGGGAATGAAGCGGGAAATATTTCTGCTTAACGTAACGCGCGCGCTTTTTATGCCGCTTTTACGCACACGTATATCCGCGTACCTACGCATTTTCCACAGGCGACTAATTCGACTGGAAAATAACGCCAACTTTTACCTAATGCTTTATTCCTTTTACAGAACCGAACTTCGTCGGCTCTTTTGATATCGGGGAGTACGTGTTCTTCTTCTTCAGGGAGACCGCCGTCGAATACATAAACTGCGGCAAGAGCGTCTATTCCAGAGTGGCACGCGTATGCAAGAAGGATACCGGAGGGAAAAACATCCTTGCACAGAACTGGGCTACCTATCTTAAAGCTCGGCTTAATTGCTCGATCCCCGGAGAGTTTCCCTTCTATTTCAACGAGATCCGTAAGTTCATAGACAGCTTAACACTTGCGGGGGGGAATTCCCCAGTCGGCACTCGTCAATAATCGTTTTCTTTTTCACGCAGAAAGCATCTTCAAGATTCCGGGAGATGACAGTAAATTTTACGGCACGTTCACTACGTCGACCAACGGACTTATGGGATCGGCGATCTGCTCATTCAAGCTATCCGCAATCCAAGAGGCTTTCAGCGGAAAATTCAAGGAGCAGGCGTCCTCGTCTTCCGCTTGGCTACCGGTGTTATCCAGCAGAGTGCCGGAACCCAGACCGGGAACTTGCGTCAACGACACCGAGACGCTTCCAGACACCGTTCTAAACTTTATTAGGTCGCACCCACTCATGGATTCGGCCGTGACTCACGAAAATGAGAAACCGGTCTTCTTTAAGCGAGACGTCTTCTTCACCAAGCTCGTCGTGGATAGAATTCGGGTGGATCTTGGTGGAAACGTGCTGGAGTACATCGTCTACTATGCCGGAACAAGTAAGACTGAGCTTTTAATCGATCATCACCTAACTTTGCTGTTGTAGATGACGGTCGCGTGTTCAAAATTGTGGAGTGGCACAACGAAAATGGCGATTCCACTTCCATTTTGTTGGATGTGTTCGACATTACTCCGGGCGAACCTATACAAACTCTGGAACTTTCCAAGAAACACAAAACTCTGTTTGTGGCCTCGGACCATCGTGTAAAACAGATAGACTTGGTCATGTGCAATCGAAGGTATGACAACTGCTTAAGATGCGTGCATGATCCATACTGTGGATGGGATAAGGACATTTACATCTGTAAGCCTTACGCACCAGGGTATGTCTTATCATAGTAAGGAAACTCTTAAGTGCACAGCTCTCTTAGGTTGCTTCAAGACGTTGCCAATACGACGGTTAACATTTGCGATAGTAGCGTAATAAAGAAGAAAATGACGGCAACATGGGGACAAAGTTTGCACTTGGGCTGCTTCCTGAAGATGCCAGCAGTTCTCGCATCTCAAACTATCACCTGGCATCACTATTCCAAAGACAAGGGGCGATACAAAATAATATACAAGTGAGTAACTCAAATCCGTCTTAATTTTAACTAAGTAAATGATGTGATCATGGTTTAATGTTTAATAACGTCTTCGGTTGTTGTTTAAAATGTTGTGGATTTAAAATCTCACACTCAAATCTCCTACTTTTTTTTGTAAATATTGGTCCAAAGGATGAGAAAGATAAATGGAAATTGAATATCAAGGTTGGAACCTAAGGTCCACAAGCCAGCAGAGCCATTTTAGAAAAACGAAGGACGAAATACATCAGAATTATAGGCTGATTATAGGCCTTTTTTGGACACTTGAACAAATTTTCAGGCGGCATCCTTTAAAGAAAAAAACTATCATCCAGATCAGTTTGATTTTGATGTAGTGGATAAATAAAAATTATTTATTTATTGTCTATTTATTGTCCCTCTCTTGTTCTGGGCCCTCAACGGGCTTTCGCCCAATTAATATATTTATTTAAACTCTAACTTATATTTAAAAAATCTGATACAACTGAATACCAAACGATCCTCGAGATCTTCACACATGCATCATTTTTACAATACACCTTAAGGGGCCGAAGGGGTTGATTCTGTCCCACCTGATCAGCATAGCTTGTAACACACATTTTTTGAAATTGCGTTAGTTTTACATTTATTTGAGGTGCCTGCATACAACATTTCATTTAAATACCTTAACAAATAAAAGAAAACCAACTGCGCATGCGCAAAACAAATTTTCTGATTAGGCATTACTTTCACTTTTATTGGAGGTGCCTTGATACAGACTTTCATTTAAATATATTAACAAATAAGAAATTATGATTGCGCAAATACAAAAGTTGTTATGCGCATGCGCAGTATTTGTTTGCATTTGCATAGTTGCCTGAAGTTTAAGGAATATTTACTAACACAGAAAACCGGACATTCATATGTTCTTTGTAACAAGAGTTAGAAGCCCTTTTTGGAGGTTTGCGCAGTTTTTGGTCTGTAACTATTTGGCCCGTTGGTCTACGTAGCCGAAAAACAATTGCGAACTTTGTTATATCCTGAAGAACATGTGTATATCAATTTTTAAAACGATCGGACGTTTCTACACAAAGTTACCGTACACACGACAGACAGACGGACAGACAGACGCACAGGCAGGCAGCAATACAAAATTATAAACGATTTCGAGGTTCGTTAATAATATAATGAGACGAATAATTTTAATTTTTTGTTGTACTTCTTTCCAATTCAGGAATATCGTTTCAACTTTTCTTCTCCTATAATACAAGAGAAGATGCATAGACAACTAAGACACTTTTAACATTACTTTTTTTTAAACCTGAAACACAATTCTTGCTATATATTTGATTTATTAGTAAAAGAAAATTCAAATTTCAAATACCTACTTGACAGATGTCTCCAAACAGGTGGAACAATCCCTAGCATTAAAGTTACTAGAATCTGGTAACTTCCGCAATTTTTGGGCAAAAAACATGCGTTCTCTCTCTAACACACGGGCCCAATGGATTGCGGTACTTTCTATATTTAGTGACTTATAATTGATCTACAGTGACTGCAGTGGTGTATTGGTAAATTATGTTAAGGGTATACGCAGGGGTCGGTTATACAATGAGTCCCTGTCATGTGGGGGGGGGGGGGTTGGAAGGGGTTTAAAAATCCTCAATTTGTTGTACCTTATTACAAAACTGTTTCTTTTTGTTTTTCGAAGTCTGTAGTCTGTAGGTACCAGAAAAAACTAAATGAAGACTACTATTGTAATGTAATGACTACACACGTATTAACATTGTATATTAATTATACAGGGCGTTCATTTGAAAACTTCCCACCTCGGATTTATCCAAAACCACTGATTACAGGAAGAAACGCCGAGACACGTCAAAAGATTTTGTCTAGGGGGACAATTTTAACCAAAAACTACTTCACCTCCTTTCACCCTCTGCCCCCAGGGCCATTCCCTTAAAATTGAATGACGAGTGGTATCGAGTAATAGCTTGTTTGAAAGGTCTTACGAAGTCCTTTATTTTGATGTTTGATTTTTTTAAATCGGTCGATTTGTTTTCGAAAAAATTAGAATAATTTCTACTCTTTCGGCTAGTGTGAAAACCATTTTAGAAGTAAAATCTGAATCAATAAATTACTTTTCATTATCCCAAAATTGTCACAAAGGTGACTGACAGCAAACTAAATTCTTTCTTTCCCATAGCAACAAATAAGTGATATTTTCGTTTGTTTTTGTTTTCTATCTGAACAAATTAAGATAGATCGATTAAATAAATTAAATAAAGATTTTTCTAATTTTCTCGAAAACGAATCTACCGATTTAAAAAATCAAACGTAATAAAGGACTTCCAAAGATATTTCAAACAAGCTATTACTCGATACCACTTATCATTTATCATTTTTAAGGGAATGACCCTGGGAGGCAGAGGGTGAAAGGGGGTGAAGTAGTTTTTGGTTAAAAAGTTGTTCTTCTTGACCAATCTTTTGACTTTTCCCAAAGGAAATTCGCCTGCACTATCTGGGAACGTATAGAAGGAATCATTTTTTTCTTGTTCTTGCCAACAACATTGTTATACCTACTGAGGGGTGAGGTGCTAGAAACTGCCTGGGAACTCCTGACTCTCGTTAGGACTTTCAAAACTGGTTACCCAGAAGTTATCGTAACGGTAAAAATATACCATGCGATCAAAAATGAGTTGCTGTCGAGTGACCTTTGGAATTTTTGTTTACATGGGAAATCGTACTTAACTTAAACTTCCAAAGGCGACTCGACAGCAACTCATTTTTGATCGCCCGTTACGTTCTAATGTAATCAGCGTAAAGAATAAAACGCCATTATCAGTACAAGATTTTCAGGAATGTTTTTAAAGTTACGTATACGCCCGTATATACCTATTTACGTATTTACCAAATTATCATTTCTATATATACGCTGAATAAAAACTACTTTTAAACATATACGGCGTATACTCCCGTATACCCTCCAATACAGCACTGAGTAACTGTATACCTACTGTATAGAGGCAGTTTGGTCATACTTTGCTGTTGTTTTTTTATTGGTATGTGGGATATCCGCCATGCCATATTTTAACCAAATAAATCGGGTTGGCGGAAATTAACTTGGAATCCAAGGTGATCAAGTCACAAACAGTTGTGGCAATAATATTGTAACCATAGAAAAATGCCAAAATCTACCAATTCAATTAAACCGATCAGCTCAATGAAGAATATGGGAAAAATATGGCGGATATAGAGCATATGACCACACTGTCTTTATACAGTCACTGTTAATGGATCGAGGCAAAAATTTTGCGCATGCGCATAGCATATCGCACATGTGATCAGCTAGCTTCTTCTTTAGCCAGCAAAATCATAGTTTTTTTTGTTTAAAGAATGCCGCCTGAAAATTTGTTGTAGTGTCTAGAAAATGCCTATAAATAGCCTATAATTTTGTGATCTGAATTTTTCGCCTTCGAAGCAAATCTCACAAGTGGTCAGCTAGCTTCGTCTTTAGCCAGCAGAGCCATAGTTTTTTTCTTTAAAGGATGCCGCCTGAAAATTTGCTAAAGTGTCCAAAAAGGGCCTATAATTCTGATGTATTTCGTTCTTCATTTTTCTAAAATGGCTCTGCTAGCTTGTGGGACCTTGAAACTTACCTACTTTAGTTGTCGATCAAAGTTTGTTGCCATTTTGATAGTGAAACTAGGGAAAAAATCTTCCAAAGCAGCACCACAATTTTCTCCATACTGACTCTTCTTCATTTATTTTTTAGGCCTGAAAAGTACATTGAAACATCAGAACATGGGCTTATTATACTGTCACTGACGGAAGCAGACGCGGGGAGATACGACTGCTGGATGGGAGCGTCCTTGCTGTGTTCGTACAACGTGACTGTAGACTCGCACAGATGCTCAGCCCCGTCAAAAAGTAATGACTACCAAAAAGTGTACTCGGATTGGTGCCACGAATTTGAGAAGTATAAGTCGGCGATGAGAACATGGGAACGGAAGCAGGCGGTGAGTATATTGTATATTTAAAAGTATATTTACACCTTCAAACTGCTTATTATTCCTAAATTGTTTAAGCAAACAGAGTTTTTCACGAAAAATTTAGGCCTTGCGCAAGTGCGATCTTCTGATATTGCATTGACTACAATATTGCTGCACAATTTCACCAAAAAATTGGAGTGCAGGTTTCCTTATTCAATTCGGAGGAAAGTACCTAGTACAGATTCTTCAATTTATTGTTCAGTACAATTGTTTCACCAATTTCATTTGGACTATTGTTAACAAAAATTATACCTACTTTGAATGGTTCCAAATATCAAATTGAATTCTTTGCTATGGAAATGATGCTTAGCTTAGCATTATGTCTAAGACTAAAAAAAGGTTATTATGAGCCTTTAATAATGGGCAAATAGGCTCTAATTACTTCAAATGGCTCTCAGGAGTCTTCTAGAAAGTGATAGAACCCTTAAGACTCCCTTCTCTGTATTTGACTTGAGCTTTTATGAGTTTATGAGTCTCCATAACCTTTTAAATGTTTTACAGTCTTTACAAAGCCTTTAGTGTTACAAGGCTGTAAGTTCGAATGCTTTAGATGCTTTGGAGTTTCTATTGTCCTTTAAGAGCTGAACCGTAAGAGTTTTTAAAGGCCTTTAATTTAATAAAAAAAAGGAGACCCTGTTTAGCCTAATAAGTTGCTTCACCGTCCGTCCGTCCGTCTCCGGTTCCAGATAGCTGTCGCCAGGACCCAGATTTGCCAAGAGACCCTGTTAAAAAGACACCCTCGACTGTTACGGTTACTTGTTGCCACTGAGCCTGGAACTGACTGGCCGACCAGTCTTCAACGCTGATCCTGACAACGGCGGGAGCAATTTCTAGGGTCAGCTTGGGTCCGACGAAGACCCCACCGCTGCCTCCACGAGCCAGCTTGTCCGCCCTTTCGTTGGCCCCCTATTTCGCAGTGCGCTGGCACCCAAGTTTACCTTATTAGAGGCTTACCAAATCTATCTAGAGTTCGCCTGCAATCGTCAATCGGAACCTGTCTGCTGACAGAACCCTCAGCGCCGCCTGACTGTCATTGTATACAGTGCTATTCATTAAGAAGTAGACAGGGATTTACATGTGTTGTTTTTCCCTTTGTCTACTTTTAAATGAGAAAATCTCTTCTGAAGGGCGGCGCACAATTTTACGCAACCAAAATAACTTCTTAAAACAAATAAAAATCTAGCTGTCAGAAGAGATTTTGTCATTTAAAAGTAGACATAGGGAAAAATAATACACGTAAATCCCTATGTCTACTTCTTAATAAATAGCGTAAGCTGTATGTTTATTATGGTAACTTCTACGGAGGTTTTCCTGTGCACAGATCATGATGGCTAAAATCTCCGTCTGACTGAGATAGATGCTAACGAACGACGGGAGAAGCTGATTTCAGCTCTCGTTCGATCACCATGTGTACCCATGCCCGTTTTCCCTTCCCTTAGGGACGCGCCTGCAAACCACAAGAACCCCTGAAGAGTGACTGTGTAACTCTTTTGTCTTAGTAAGACAATTTGGATCACATCGCTTCTTACGAGGAGAGGATTGGACTTGAGGGTTTCCGCCCGTACCCAAGGCTACCTCGATCTTTCCACTCGTCCCAATCATTTAGCCATATCAGAGCCTGGAATTCTTTATTTTATCATGGTACAGTCCTGAACTTCTGTCACATATTTCCTGTTGTTTTTACAGCATAAGTTAAAGTGTGTTTCCAGGAGACATATGTGAGGGTCTCACCCATATCTGCATGGTGTCCCCACTTTTTGCCCTGGGTCTCTCAAATGGATCTTACGAAGTTTTTCGACTTCAGGAAGACCCTCGCTTCGCTTCGCTTACTAATGCGGCAACCTTTTCCACCTGACTACTTTTCCGACAGAGCAGTCAGTAGATCGGAAATTCCGAAAGCGACAGGGCTCGCAGTAGGATACCAGACTTAGTTGGAAAAGGTGGTCTGGAAGCGACGGATCATTAGACACCCTCTAAACTCGTGATCATGCGGGCTATTGAAAAGGAGCCTAACGTCAGAGATAACCTTCTGCTTCCGCGCTGTGACGAAGGTAGCGGCTGCTTCCTGATTTAAAACATTCAAATCAGTTATTTGCAAGTACTCCAGGAGGTGGTCGCCTTTCATCCCCATGTATGTAGCGATACCAAACCCATTGTACTTTTTTGGGGCACTGTGCCTCTCTCATAGATCGTAAAGGTCGTGGTGAACCTTTACCACTGTAAATACACGGTGGTAACGGGTGGACGAGGGTCATGTCTTTTCTCAGGGGACGAAAATTTCAGAGGGAAGTTCTTTTACGGGTCCTTTAAAGACTAAAAAAGGTTATTATGAGCCTTTAATAATGGCAAATAGGCTCTAATTACTTCAAAATGACATTGAAGAGTCTTCTAGGTGATAGAACTTAAGGTTCCCTTCTAGCTGTATTTGACTCGAGCTTTTATGAGTGTTTGTGAGTCTCCGTAACCTTTTGTTTTACAGTCTTTACAAAGCCTTTAGTGTTTAGAGCCTATAGAGTTTTAGATCGCTTTAGGTGCTTTAACGTTTTTATTATTCGCTTTAAGAGCTGAACCGTTAAAAAGAGTCTTTAAACTCTTCTAAATTGTTAAGAGCGATAAAATCCATTCAGATTTTTCAACAGTCAGTACCTCTTTATTTCTTTAAGGCGATTTAAATTTCTGCAGGTGAATCGTTGACTAGGCGCCTTTATTAACCTGAAGAGTTTTCTTGGGGACGAATTTTCGGGGACACTGATGGGGATTTTGTTATAGAAGCAGAATGGGATTTTAAAACTGATTTTATAGCAGATACTTCAAAGGGGGTTATCTTATTAAAACTAATTTTTGGAGTTGAACCTGATAATTCTTCGGGAAAGGTTTCTGGCGAGGGCTAAATATTCTAGACGAATGTTTCTTGAAGGCGGAAGTTCGGGAGTATAAATTTGGAAAGGTTGAATATTCAGGGAGTCACATTGTAGGAACCTCTAGAATTGATTAGGTAGCTATTCCTAAGTCCTAAGCTCAATTCTTTGGGGTCGGACCAAGAATGTCCTTTGGGTGATGGCCATTCCGCCCTAAGTACCCAGCTGCAAGGCTTCCAAGTGCGCGGATGCGAGAGACGTGTTTACTTAACAAGGCAAATTTTTGGAAACCAGTTGAAACTGATGTTCATTTTGTAGCAAAAGCAGAAGAGAACTTTGAAATTGGTTACCTACTCCCAGGGCTATCCTTCTGATATTTGTGTGTACCTTTCCTCTAGGTAGGTACCTCTGTAACTTCGACTGCATATTTTTTGGAAAAGAGATGTCAAATTCTGAACTGGACCAACTTGTAATTTTGTAAACTATTAAGTATGTCTCATCATCAATTCTTTGTGCATTTAAGCAAATATTAACAACATTTAACGAATTTAAAAACAGAATATTTCGTTATGTTTCTTGACTTGACTAACTTTACATCATTTCAGCAATGCCTCGCCCGACAAAACGACAGCGACCAGAACAACCATCCGAACGAAATCTTTCGACCCTTATTATGATAGCTTGTGGAACACGGCCCGCTGGCCCTCACGCCCTTAGGAATTCCTTTGTATTGGACTGTCGTATTCTTTGCATAAATTAAGTGACAAACGTTATTATTCGGTTCAAGCATTTCGCAATCAATCACTTAAAAGTGCCCTCATTTTGGTAGTGAAGGATATTAAAAGTTGGTGCAAAAATTAAGATTAAAAATTGTGCCGTCTATGTGTATTTATAGATGGTTTTACAGAGACCAAAAAATGTAGGCATTTTATTTTAAGGTACCTACCTACTGTAAGTTACTTTTATACGAAGGTGTGTAGAAGGACCAGAAGCTACTTTTGCGGTCTTATTCGCTACTTTTAACTGGAAGTTAGTCTTATTTGCTACATTTAACAAGAGATTGCTACTGTTAAGTGGTAGTTAGGCTTACTAATGTAGCAATTAACTCCTAGTTGAAGGTAGCAGTTAGGACCAAACAAAATTAGAAATGTCACTTCCTTCTAGATCTTCGTAACTTTTTTAATATACGTGGTTGATTTTTACTATTACTAAAGTAGTCCCATTTAATATTTAAGACCGAGCAACTTATTTTAAATGGGAACACCTCGTATAATTTTAGACTGTACCTACATTTAAGTTTTAGCTCTCCTGTTTGAGTTACGTGCGCACGAATATTTATTATAAACCTTGTAGGTCTGTGATATATGTGTATCGTAATATGCAAAATTGCGTATTTTATTATTTTACTTGTACATAATATGCAAAGCAGCTATCCGATAAGAATCGATAAGAATATGGACCAAAGTGAACGAACTCTTGTTAGTAACACCGAAAATGTATACTGTAAAGTTCAAGCATATATTTAAAGCAATACTTTCGCTTGTGATGGTCCCTTATTAATAATCTAATATTGTAATACAGATTCCTACATATGCCAATACTATCCGTTACATTGTTACATATTTTTAGTGTGAGAAATAGAAATTATATTTAGGTTTTTCAAGTAAGTACACCTCCTTTGTGTGCAAGGCGCTTTAAGTTGGTTATTGTGCAGAGGAACATCTTTGTTTCTTTGTTTAATTTACTCGCTAGGTATCCAAAAACTTAACGCGTCTTTACTACAACATTTAGTTACATTCTAGACAATCAGCAAATAAGCATATTACTTGATTTTTGTGAAATACGATGTTATTGTTTGTACATTAGTCTTTATTTGTAGCTGTACATAAAAAGTTTAATCGGCAACTGCTGAGGTTCCTGATGATTTTTTGAAACTTCAGGGGTTTGCTTATAAATTATAAAAGAAGAAACTGGATATCAAAGGCATACTTTTGTGTACATACATTCTGGGCTACAACTGTACTCATTGTCATTTTATAATATCCCATCCATATGGATGTCACTTCTATGAAGTGATTTAGCGACATTGGCTTAGCTTATGGGAATGTTTTTCGTTTAAGATTAGTTTTTAATCATTTTTGTATTTTAGTTATGTAACGAAAATAATAGAATTGTTTACATTTTGTATGTAAATAGATTATTAATAATTATAATATGGTTACACATTGACAGGCAACTTAATTAAGAAATAAAGTATAGATAATGCTCTTCTCCAATCTATCTATTGCTAATAAAGCCTAAAATATTCACTTTCATTTTTGTATACATCCTACACAAGGGTCTAAGTTTGTTGTTCGAAACCTGGGGAGTCTAAAAGACTGAAAATATTGTTCTGAAAGGCCCTGAAGTGATGTGATAAGATCCTGAAAAATGTTTCAAAAGCATTTTCCAGAGATAGTGGAATGGAAACCTGTACACAGAGAACTGATGAATCTCCAGACCTCAAAATATTACCAAATTTGTACGCAGTCCAGCTGAAACAGAAATAAGTTAAAAAAGTGTTCATGAAAGATTCACAAGAAGTCTATATAGTGATTTTTTGCAAACTTTTGTTGTATGAAACGGTTCACTGAAAAAATGAAATTGATAATATCTTTAGTCTAGTATGCGGAGCAGTCAGAAGGGCCGATTCCTGCAAAAGGTGGTGTAAACAATTTTATCGTTTTAATGAAATGGTCCATTTGGGTCCAAATAACATGCATTTGAAGAGTGTACACCAATTTTTTTCCCAGCACAATTTTTCGCAGCCAAAAAACCTCAAAATGTTCGGACTTTTTTCAATATTTCGCTTAAAACTCGAAAACGGTCCATATTTTATGAATAACACTTCTTTAGTAAATTACAGAACACAAGGTGAACAAACAAAATTGGTCTAATAGAAAAATTTTTGCAAGCGATCAAAGAACACCCATTTCTTCCAACTTTTATAAAAAACTGAGTTCACCCTTTTTTTAATGCGTTGTGGCTCCGAAATGAACGATAAAATCTCTCCCTCAGAGAATTCAAAAAGTACCAAAATTAAATTAAATTGGAGCAATTTTTAAAATGTGTTGGAAATAATGATTGAAAATGTGCAATTTCATGTAGGATTTGTAGAGCAATTGTACTTCAATAATCGTCTACACAAAAATTTCTCGGGAAAGCACTTTTTCTTATTAATTTTGGTGCGTAGAATCCATAAACAATTCGTACTTTTTCGATCAGACTTCTCAATCAAAAGTTATAGACCAATTTCGAAAGAAAATTCAAAGGGCTGTAACTTATGTAACCTTTGGATAAGTTTGTCGACAAGTAACAGGTGTAGTGTTAGGGAAAGAAACACCTCCTCGCACTCATATGATCCTGATGCAGAATTGGCAAATTTTTAAATCGAATTAAAGCCTTGAAATAATTCTGACAGAGATAGAAAACGACGTCTTCGTATATTATGTTCTCCTAGTAGCCCGACATCTTTTACGTAAGTGTGTCGACAAATGAAAGGTGTAGTATTAGGAAAGAAACACCTCCTCGCACATCATATGATCCCGATACAGAATGGCAAATTTTTAAATCGAAATTAAGCTTTGAAATAACTCTCATAGTGATAGAAAAAGACCTCTTCGTGAATTGTGTTCTCCTAGTAGCAAGACACCCTTTACGTAAGTTTGTCTACAAAGAACAGGTGTATTTGGGACTGAAAGACCTCCTTTCACGTTATATCTTCCTGATACCTACCAAATTTGTAAGTGTTTTCGGCAAAGTGCGAAGGACCAGGTGCTTATTGTACTGTAATCTTCCTATCAGTTTTGTTATTGGGGAGGAAAATAAAGTACAACTTCTGTAAATATAATTTTTATATTGAAAACTGTACAAACAAAATAAACGCATATTCTGTTCCGAGTGAATCTTGAAAGTAAATGCAGCCCATGGTTAGCTCAGAAATCTGGTATCAGGAGAATATAATGTGCGAGGAAATTGAAGGTTAAAATAAAATTTAAGTGAGGTTAGGTTAGCGTGCTAGTTAGGTTAGCTCAGAAGTCTGGTATCAGGAGAATATAATGTGCGAGGAGATCGAAGGTTAATATAAAATTTAGGTGAGGTTAGGTTAGCGTGCTAGTTAGGTTAGCTCAGAAATCTGGTATCAGGAGAATATAATGTGCGAGGAGGTCGAAGGTTAAAATAAAATTTAAGTGAGGTTAGGTTAGCGTGCTAGTTATGTTAGCTCAGAAATCTGGTATCAGGAGAATATAATGTGAGAGGAGATTGAAGGTTAAAATAAAATTTAAGTGAGGTTAGGTTAGCGTGCTAGTTAGGTTAGCTCAGAAATCTGGTATCAGGAGAATATAATGTGCGAGGAGATCGAAGGTTAAAATAAAATTTAAGTGAGGTTAGGTTAGCGTGCTAGTTAGGTTAGCTCAGAAATCTGGTATCAGGAGAATATAATGTGCGAGGAGATCGAAGGTTAAAATAAAATTTAAGTGAGGTTAGGTTAGCGTGCTAGTTAGGTTAGCTCAGAAATCTGGTATCAGGAGAATATAATGTGCGAGGAGATCGAAGGTTAAAATAAAATTTAAGTGAGGTTAGGTTAGCGTGCTAGTTAGGTTAGCTCAGAAATCTGGTATCAGGAGAATATAATGTGCGAGGAGATCGAAGGTTAAAATAAAATTTAAGTGAGGTTAGGTTAGCGTGCTAGTTAGGTTAGCTCAGAAATCTGGTATCAGGAGAATATAATGTGCGAGGAGATCGAAGGTTAAAATAAAATTTAAGTGAGGTTAGGTTAGCGTGCTAGTTAGGTTAGCTCAGAAATCTGGTATCAGGAGAATATAATGTGCGAGATCGAAGGTTAAAATAAAATTTAAGTGAGGTTAGGTTAGCGTGCTAGTTAGGTTAGCTCAGAAATCTGGTATCAGGAGAATATAATGTGCGAGGAGGTCGAAGGTTAAAATAAAATTTAAGTGAGGTTAGGTTAGCGTGCTAGTTAGGTTAGCTCAGAAATCTGGTATCAGGAGAATATAATGTGCGAGGAGATCGAAGGTTAAAATAAAATTTAAGTGAGGTTAGGTTAGCGTGCTAGTTAGGTTAGCTCAGAAATCTGGTATCAGGAGAATATAATGTGCGAGGAGATCGAAGGTTAAAATAAAATTTAAGTGAGGTTAGGTTAGCGTGCTAGTTAGGTTAGCTCAGAAATCTGGTATCAGGAGAATATAATGTGCGAGGAGATCGAAGGTTAAAATAAAATTTAAGTGAGGTTAGGTTAGCGTGCTAGTTAGGTTAGCTCAGAAATCTGGTATCAGGAGAATATAATGTGCGAGGAGATCGAAGGTTAAAATAAAATTTAAGTGAGGTTAGGTTAGCGTGCTAGTTAGGTTAGCTCAGAAATCTGGTATCAGGAGAATATAATGTGCGAGGAGGTTGAAGGTTAGGATAAAGTATTAGTGAGGTTAGGTTAGAGTGCCAGTTAGGTTAGGTGAGAAATCTTGTATCAGGAGAATATAATGTGCGAGGAGATTGCATGGTTAGGATAAAGTATTAGTGAGGTTAGGTTAGAGTGCCAGTTAGGTTAGGTGAGAAATCTTGTATCAGGAGAATATAATGTGCGAGGAGGTTGAATGTTAGGATAAAGTATTAGTGAGATTAGGTTAGAGTGCCAGTTAGGTTAGGTGAGAAATCTTGTATCAGGAGAATATAATGTGCGAGGAGATTGCATGGTTAGGATAAAGTATTAGTGAGGTTAGGTTAGAGTGCCAGTTGGGTTAGGTGAGAAATCTTGTATCAGGAGAATATAATGTGCGAGGAGATTGAATTTTAGGATAAAATATTAGTGAGGTTAGGTTAGAGTGCTGGTTAGGTTAGCTCAAAAATCTTGTATCAGGAGAATATAATGTGCGAGGAGATTGAATTTTAGGATAAAATATTAGTGAGGTTAGGTTAAGAGTGCTGGTTAGGTTAGCTCAAAAATCTTGTATCAGGAGAATATAATGTGCGAGGAGATTGAATTTTAGGATAAAATAGTGAGGTTAGGTTAGAGTGCTAGTTGGGTTAGCTCAAGAATCTTGTATCAGGAGAATATAATGTGCGAGGAGATTGAATTTTAGGATAAAATATTAGTGAGGTTAAGTTAGTGCTAGTTAGGTTAGCTCAAAATTCTTGTATCAGGCGAGTATAATGTGCGAGGAGTTTGAATTTTAGGATAAAATATTAGTGAGGTTAGGTTAGAGTGCTAGTTAGGTTAGCTCAAAAATCTTGTATCAGGAGAATATAATGTACGAGGAGATTGAATTTTAGGACAAAATATTAGTGAGGTTAAGTTAGTTAGGTTAGCTCAAAAATCTTGTATCAGGAGAATATAATGTGCTAGGAGATTGAATTTTAGGATAAAATATTAGTGAGGTTAAGTTAGTGCTAGTTAGGTTAGCTCAAAATTCTTGTATCAGGAGAGTATAATGTGCGAGGAGATTGAATTTTAGGATAAAATAGTGAGGTTAGGTTAGAGTGCTAGTTAGGTTAGCTCAAAAATCTTGTAACAGGAGAATATAATGTGCGAGGAGATTGAATTTTAGGATAAAATATTAGTGATGTTAGGTTAGAGTGCTAGATAGGTTAGCTCAAGAATCTTGTATCAGGAGAATATAATGTGCGAGGAGATTGAATTTTAGGATAAAATATTAGTGAGGTTAGGTTAGAGTGCTAGTTAGGTTAGCTCAAAAATCTTGTATCAGGAGAATATAATGTGCGAGGAGATTGAAGGTTAGGTTAAAATATTAGTGAGGTTAGGTTAGAGTGCTAGTTAGGTTAGGTCAAAAATCTTGTATCAGGAGAATATAATGTGCGAGGAGATTGAAGGTTAGGATAAAATATTAGTGAGGTTGGTTAGAGTGCTAGTTAGCTTAGCTCAAAGATCTTGTATCAGGAGAATATAATGTGCGAGGAGATTGAAGGTTAGGTTAAAATATTAGTGAGGTTAGGTTAGAGTGCTAGTTAGGTTAGGTCAAAAATCTTGTATCAGGAGAATATAATGTGCGAGGAGATTGAAGGTTAGGATAAAATATTAGTGAGGTTAGGTTAGAGTGCTAGTTAGCTTAGCTCAAAGATCTTGTATCAGGAGAATATAATGTGCGAGGAGATTGAAGGTTAGGTTAAAATATTAGTGAGGTTAGGTTAGAGTGCTAGTTAGGTTAGCTCAAAAATCTTGTATCAGGAGAATATAATGTGCGAGGAGATTGAAGGTTAGGTTAAA